GAGACACAGGAAGAGTGCCTAACAGGTACGGAGGCTCTTTTGCAAGAACTGGGGCGGATGGGCTACAGGGCCTCTGCAAAGAAGGCGCAGCTCTGCCAATGAGAGGTAACCTATTTGGGGTACCGATTGAACGGAGGGCAGAGATGGCTGACACAAGCCCGCCAGGAGACCATCTTGGGCATCCCGACACCTCGTGATCGCAGACAGGTGAGAGAATTTTTGGGGACTGCCGGGTTTTGTCACCTATGGATTCCAGGGTTCGCGGAAATGGCGGCCCCCCTGTACCTCTTAACCAAGACAGATGAACCTTTCATTTGGGAAGACCGCCACCAACAGGCCTTCAATAGCATAAAGAAGGCCCTGTTGGAAGCACCGGCTCTTGGCCTGCCTGATCTAACAAAACCGTTTGAACTGTACGTTGATGAAAAGCTGGAGTATGCAAAGGGGGTCCTGACTCAAAAATTGGGGCCGTGGAGACGCCCTGTAGCTTACTTATCAAAGAAACTAGACCCAGTGGCTGCCGGCTGGCCACCTTGTCTGAGGATGGTGGCTGCCCTGGCAGTCCTGGTCAAAGATGCTTCCAAGCTGACTATGGGTCAGCCCCTTTACATCCGGGCCCCCCACGCTCTCGAGTCTCTCATCAAACAGCCCCCGGACCGATGGCTCTCGAATGCCTGAGTGACCCATTACCAGGCTTTGCTCCTAGATACAGACCGCATCCAGTTTGGAGCCCCCGTCACCCTCAACCCTGCAACACTGTTACCGGTGGCGGAAGGACCTGACTCCCAAGCCAACCATGACTGTCTTCAGGTCCTGGCTGAAGTCTTCGGCACTCAACCGGACCTCAGCGATCAACCACTAGAGGGGGCAGATTATACTTGGTACACAGACGGGAGCAGTTTCCTTGCAGAGGGTAAGCGCAGGGGCAGCGGTCACCTCGGACAACAAAGTAATATGGGCAGAACCCTTACCAGAGGGGACTTCCGCACAAAAAGCTGAGCTGGTGGCCCTGACACAGGCACTGCAATTGGCGGAAGGCAAAAAGCTAAATGTGTATACTGATAGCCGATACGCCTTCGCCACTGCACACATCCATGGAGAGATTTACAAAAGAAGAGGACTTCTTACTTCAGGAAGAAAAGAAATAAAAAACAAAGCTGAGATCATACCGCTACTAGAGGCCTTGTTCTTACCAAAAGAGCTCAGCATTATGCACTGCCCAGGCCACCAGAAAGGAAACCACCCTGAGGCAAGAGGAAATCGTCTAGCTGACCAGACGGCCAGAGACATTGCCTCCAAGAGCCAAATACTAACCGTGCAAATTGACACTGAATGCAAAAGGCAGGAGGCCACCAGAGACTACACTCCAGAGGACAGAAAATTACTTGAGAAAATTGGAGCTTTCAACAACCCAAAAACAGGATACTGGGAGTACCAAGGGAAAACCGTCCTGCCTCAGCGATCGGTAGAGTAACTCCTAGATGAACTTCACAGGTGGACCCACTTGGGAGTAACCAAAATGAAAAGACTAATCGAGCGAGAAGAAACCATTCATTATCTCCCAAACAAAGACGCCATCCTACAAAAGATTGTTAAGAACTGTAAAGCCTGTGCCCAGGTGAACTGGGGCAAAAATAAAGCCCAAGGAGGAGTGAGGCAAAGAGGTCACAGGCCTGGGGTCCATTGGGAAGTCGATTTTACTGAAGTTAAACCAGGAATATATGGATACAAGTATCT